GCGCCGTGTAACTTATTTAAACTGATTTCTTCCCACCAGATTCTCCTTTGTTTCACTATGGATTCTTACACTCCCAGCCAGGACCCAACCCACTGGCTCAGACGCGCGCTGTCTTGCTCTCGTTCCCTGGAGTGCAGAGCCCGAACCAGGCTCCCAGTAAGAGCACAGAGCGAATGCCTCGTGTCTCATTCGTAGTTTCCTTGGTCAATTCTCCCTGATGTCTAACAGCTCATCTGTTTCTTTGCACGCCTTTTCTTTCTCATTCTTCTCATGGTCGTATTTTTTTTTTCAATTTCAATGGAACAGAATATTGATTATACTGTTACATTAAATATCTCCCAAATCCCTATATATTATTTTTCCATTAGATTAATATCTACAGACTCATGCACTTATGTCATTTACCATGTATATTATGTACCTTTGGTGTGTATGCTACATAGTGTGCATATGTACACAATAGATCATATAATGATGCAAGTTTTGTAAATTCTCCAGGTTTAGGCTTCCCCGGTCCTTTTCTCATCAGCTGCTGTAACCTCTGTCTGGTCCCACCTCTGTGTCCCATGGGCTGCCACCCTGCCAGGCCCTTCCACCCCCATGTCCTGTTTGCACTCAGCTCTGATTTAACTTTCACTTTGATAATCTCTTCCCTCCCCAAAGCACAGCCTACATACACTGTGATTCTCCAGCTTTTGCCTTACCTACCCGAAAGGTATTTGTGTTTCTTCATCTTTTGGTTCTTGAATATTTTTGTGAATTGGGAGTGCCTTTGCCTCCTGGGAGACTTGTCATTACTGAGTCATGTAAGAAAGATCAACAAAAAAGAAAATATTAAAGTCACTCTATTGGCTTCCCCTCCCCCTTTGGACTTTCTTGTCCAAGGCCACATTCCTGATTTGATGTCCTTTGGGTGGAAGAGAAAGTCACAGTAAGATCATGGATGCCAGTGGGTGTCATTTGCTGTCGTTTTCTTTTCAGAGCTGGTTTTAGAGCCCTCCGTTGGGATGAAGAACCCTCCGCAGCTGGAAGATGATGCACTTGAAGGCTCAGCAGACAACACACAAGGGGATCAAGTCATTGGCAACATTCGTGCCTCCAGTGTTCTGAAACCAAAGATGATTAAAAGAAAACTCCCATTCAGCAAGTGGATCCCTTGGCCTTCATGCTTAGGGTGCAGAGGTAATCACATCTATGGCTCTTAGCTGCACTCACTTCTTCTTTCTCTCTGTCTGTGGTGACAGCTTCTTCTCCTGCTGCTTTTTCTCTTCCATTTGTTCTCTCCAGCGGCTGCTGTCACCTCTGTCTGGTCTTACCCCAGTGTCCCATGGGCTCCCACCCTGCCAGGCCCTTTGTGTCCCCGTCTACTCATTGCTCTGGGGAGTCTGCTCTATTCCTTCCTCTGCTGTCTTGAGGGTCCCTGTCATGGCCACAGGAGAGCCGGGCCTCCTTGTCCTCATCCACATGCAGTTTAAGCTGCTGAACACAGAGTTCTTTGCCTGGAATTGCGCTCTCTCTTAGAAAATGTACTTTCTTCCCTGTATCCCCAACTCCATTGCCGCTTTCTGCAGGGAGCATTGCTTCCATACATCCTTCACACATAGGTTTCCCTCATGAGTTGGCTTTGGAGGGCCCCAGCTAAGTCAGCCCTTACTCGTCTCTTGTTCCTCTGAATGAGAAGTGTTAAAGCTGAGCACAGAGAGCCCCACTTAGGAAACTAAACGAGAACCTTGGTTACAGGTGAGAGTTCCCTGCAGGACTGGAGTCAGGTTTGTCTTCAGCCCCAGACGTGCAGCCTTGTGACAATGTAGATGGAATTGCCAGGGACTCAGTAGTCTC